TTTTAATAACACCTAAAGGTGACATAGATACTTTATTATGGTATAGTATTTAAATGTATGCCTTAGAAACACATAATATTGCCTCTTTAAAATGTCTTAAATTTGACTTGCTAAAAACTGCAGATACCCTGCACCAGGTAAATACATAGACTTGGAATAATTTACGTATGTTGTATAATACAGTCTAAAAATGTAAAATGTTACTGTTAGCCTTTTCTTAATTKTTGAACTGATGTGAAACACAAWACACAGTGAATAGAAAGAAAACAGGAAAGTTAAGTAAACCACAATAAAGGCATTAAAATGTATTTTAACTCCAAAATATCTGGATTTGTTTTACAAAAGTAAATGATTCAATAAATAAATAAGCAGGCAGCGAGCATACCCCGCCCCCCAGTGGTAGACCTGAAGTTATGCCTGTGTTTGCTTTCGATCTGGTGTGTGTCTAAGTCCTGCTCAGGCATTCAGCTAGAGGGGCGTCTTTACAGCGCCTTGTTTGGTTTTCAGATGCCTTCTTTCAGCTGATGACATCTAAAACCACCCTCAGGGCACTGTGCTGATTTTCGGGTTCGCAGAGAGTTGTTTTTTTTTTTTTCACACTATGTGAACTTTATAAAGTTTATAAGCAGCATGCAGGTCACTGCAATTATTTTACGAAGCCAGAAGAAGACACACAGAATAAATTGTGACGGCTTGGATAGAGGAGGTGGGTAGAGATTTTGTAGCTGCAGCAGCTGTTGTTGTGTGCTGTTTTCCCAAACTCCTATCCAGGTCAATTCCTAACTTTTTTTTAACATAAGCATAAGCTTCAGGAGTGTGGTGGTAGAGCGGAGCTGTCATTATGTTAGTCTCCAAACAYTGTTAMTATTTATCGCGATAATTTCTGAGAGATTTACCAAAATTTTGTTATTGTGACTGGCCTCTAACAGTCACACAGTTTGAGAGGACGACCCGCTCRCGGTAGATTTACACGTTTTATATTCCTTCCATTTCTTGATGATGGATTTATCGTTGTTCCTGTGGATCATCTTGACTTGTACTTTTCACTGAGTTGAATTAAAGTGGGTGAATATTTATACAAACACTTATGTTACATTACAGAGTTGTATTTATTTGGAATTACTTTGAAAAAAAAATGTAATTTCACTTTGCTATTGTAGAAGCTTTAATTGAAGGTTCAAAAAGTCCTGATGCATCTCAGWAATCCAGGTAAAAAATCAAGAAGAAAAAAATTGTATAGGTCTTRTGGACGGATTCTTCTCTAATGAAACGTTTCGTCTCTCCTCCAAGAGACTTCTTCAGTCTTTAATTGAAGGTTTTTTTTGTCAAAAAGGCCAATTTATATTGWTCATGGTTTGTTCATGACAGCTGTGAAAGCACAAAACATTTAAGGGTGTGGACTCTAAAGAAACGAACTCACTAAAGACATGAGCACATTCTTTTATATCACTCATCATAACTCTTATCCCACAGGCYGCAAATGTTTCTCATCCAGTCAGCATGCATTTCAAACACACCCTCTTTTTTTAAAATCTTCCAGGGATCAGGAACAGGTTCCTCTCTGACTGGCGGGGCCGGTTCATCGGGGTCCAGGCCCACTCGGCAGCGCATCACACGCGTCAATCTCAGGGACCTGCTTTTCTGCTTGGAGAACGAGAGATTCACCAGTCGCTCCCATTTCCTCTACAAGGGCTTTCTCAAATAGGCGTGATGTCAGGGAGAGGAGGACAACAGAGGAACAGGTAGAGGGTTGGAGGGGGGGAGTAACAATGTGTGTGGAGAGACCTGTCACTCCCACCACCAAGATGGTAAGCGACTCCTTTAAGTGAAGAAGAGAACACTGAGCATCAAAAAGAAAACCTGAACTAGCCATACTTGAAGGCCTCTCTACCTCCCTCTTCAAATAACCTCTATTTTCTTTCAGAGCTAATGTCCCTTTATATAACCCGTGCAACTTCTTTCTTCAAGATGGTGCAAAAACGGATCTTGTGTTTTCTGACGAAGGTTGTGTGTGTGTGTGTGTGTGTGTGTGTGTGTGTGTGTGTGTGTGTGTGTGTGTGTGTGTGAACAAATGACATAATGTACAACTGTGCACTGTATTATAGAATGGTTTATTTTATGAGCTTTAAAGCTACGAAAATCACTTGTTTTATTCTGCCGCCAAGTACAACCCTGAGAAAAAGTCTGAATGTTGTGTAAAATGTCAAACAGGATGCAAGGATTTTCTCATAAAACCATATTTTAGTCGTTATAGAACACAGTAAACATATTAAAGCTACTGCATGTCGTTTCTGGAAAACCCCGGACTTAGAAAACATTTGAACTGATACAAGCTTCAGGTCCCTCCCCCTCGCTCTCTGTTGAGCTTCAGCCCACCTTCCTAAGCCCCTCCCACACAGCAGTAAATTTGAACAGAGGGCTGTAGGACCACCGGGAGGAGCCAGAGGACTTTTGTTTTTTCAGAGATTATTTGTCTAATAATCTATCAGGACATAGTGACAGTTTTAACAAATATGTTAAAATAGATTTCTAAATATTTAAACTAATAATAGTGACACATCTCAAAAGAAAAGTTGGGACAGAGCTATGTGTACTTCTGTGACACAACTCTTGTTTTAACTACATTTTGTACATTTCAGGAGACCAGTGTTTGGAGGGAAATGTCCCGTTCTTTTCTGATGATTCTAGCTGAGTCGTATTTGTTAGATTTTTGGTTTCCTTATGCACCAAGTGTTTTCATGTTTTGAACCGCACGTAGGCTGGTTCAAAGGACTCCTCGACTATAAAGCCATGCTGTTGGAACAGAGGCAGTATGAGGTTTAGATTTGGCTGAAATATYCAAAGCCTTCCCTGAAAAAGACGTTTTGATCGTCTAAAATGCATATATACTTTTCTGCTCTGATAGGACCTTTCCAGATGTGTAAGCTGCCCATGTAATGCACCCTCATAACATCAGCGAGGCATGATTTTGTGCTGTCAAACAGATCAAACAGTCCCTCTCTTTTTTAATACAGTGGATGTGGCATCAGTAGTTTTTAAAAGGAGTTTTAAATGTTAATATTGCTCGCCTCAGTTCTTTTTAAACAAGATTTGGACCAGAGGAGACAGCAGTGTTTCTGGATAGTGTTAGCCAGTGAGGTATATAGGATAGAGGAGTTACACACACTTCAGACGACTGGCTGCTGTGGTATGAGCAAAACACCATGTTGGAAGGGGCAGATWGTGATGTGAAGAATTTATCATGGCTAGATTTCTGCYTAGATTTACATTTAAATATTAGTTTTTCATTTGTTAGCATCTGCCTTTTATAAACATTGTTCATTGCTGGTGTGTGTAAATTGTTAACAGATTTTTTTAACCGATATGATAATATGTACTGACAAACATTTCTATCAAATCAAAATAGTGGTTGTCAGTATCAAACTGAGTTTCACTGATTAGCTGATCTAAGTTTATCAGGTCATGGTTACCACATTCAGCTTCAACAACTTGTACTTGCCCCAAACAATATGGCCGCTCTCTTTGACCAAGAAAAGTCACGTGATAGTGCCTCTAGAGGCACTTATCAGAGCTTTAACTAGAATTTGTGTATGGTACAGTGAACTGTGTTAACAGTTATAGGACTATAGATGTGTTCCTGACGCCTCGCAGTGACATCCAAAACAGACTCAGACCTGTTTTTAATGCAATGTTTTTAGAAATCTTTTAATAATATCTTGAACTTTAAATGATGCAATATTCAAAGTCTTCCTATTTGTTTTGTTGAGGAGCATTATTCTGAAGATGTTCCACTCTTAATAGATTGGTGAACCGCTGCCCATCTTCACTTTTGAGGTATTCAGCTTCTGTAAAATCCTGTTTTATTCTCAGTCTTGTTAATGACCAGCGACTCGTTTCACTAAAGCCAGATTTAAACACGCAGGATGTCGGCTGTAAGTCGAGCTTGATCAACAATAAACAGCTGTAATAAGTTGCTCTAATGTCAAGCCAGTAAATCATTTAGGATGAACACATGTTCACTGTTTGCCTACTAGACCCACTGGACGAATGACAAATTTCCTGATTACACATGTGCAACACCACACATGAGTCTCACTCCTTCCCTGTAGTGTAACAGTTAATCATGATTCACATGAAGAGATGAAGTGAAACACAGCRGCGGTGACATTATAGTGTTTAAAAGAGTGTTTCAATAATTTAAAAAGTATAAACTTGTTTTGAAACTGAATCTATTTACAAGTTCTCTCAAAATGAACAGCGGATTACTTCGCCTTAAAATTATCACTGCGAGTTCAGGAAGTGACCAGAGGACAGATCACTTGAGCTGCAGGGAGAGAGAGTTTTGTTTTGTTTTTATGGACAATCTAATGTTAATATATTTACTCTGTGATATTTTTAATGCAAAATGAAAAGAATACATTGTATAACTTGATGAAACACTGTTTTCTGATCAATAACTGAAAACATTAGCCATTCAAAAGTAAGTTAAAAATACTAGATTATAGTCTGAATCTTCTCAAATTAACGATAATTAATTGTCTACAAGTACTTTTTGAAATAAGGATGAAAAATCCAAGCTAACAAGATTAATAATCTAATTCATTCTGCTCTTGCTCAGTATACATCACCCTCAAAACAAGATCAAAAATACTTTTTGGTGGGATATAAAATTGACAGCCTGGTGCTCAGAAACAGGTCAGGGTTTAGTTTCAGAGGACTTGTTACCATGTAAACACGTGTTTCCTCATTTGTGCAACCGAATCAAGGATTGTTTAATCCAGAATTATGTCTAAATCCTGGCTTAATCCCTTATCCTAGGTTCATGCAACAAGGCCAGTTCAATTCAACGGTTACAAAATGCTCCTCGCTGCACTTTTCTGAGGCGAGTTGCTTTCATCAAATTCAAAATTCAAATTAATAAGAAAAAATCTTAGTTTAAACATTTATTGTTACATTGTGACTTAATATTGGATTTATTAGATTTGCAAATCATTTCATTCTGTTTTTATCTACATTTACACAACATTTTTTTTGGATTTCGGGGTTGTACTCTTGTGGGAATATGATTTAAAAGATTTAATTCTGTTATTTTTTTCTTCTGTCAGTTGAATTAATTTGAACTTTAAACTGTGTAACATACTGAGTTGCCTTCCTAACTATGAGTAAGCCATACAGCCACACAATTAACCCTGCTGTACGTCACGAAGCTGTAGCGCTTTTTTTTTTCCACTCACCTGAAAAGCTTTCAGCATATTTATTTACTAAATTCAAACTGAAATGAATGTTTAGTTATTTATTTATTCTGTGACACATTGGTTGTTTTGTCGTAGCTTGAATTTGAAACTAAGTGTATGTTTTATTAGCGTTTGGGTTTAGTTTTTTTTTTTTTTTTTTTAGAATTCAGCAGGTTTAGAGAGGTTTTATTTTAAAAAATCTCAGTTTGTTTAATTTATATTTGTTTTAGACGAGTTGATTTCTTAAAAAAAAGAAAAAAACTCTTTAAGGCTTCTAAGCTGTGTCGCTATACCAAACTTACATTTACATAAAACTATTTTTGTAGCTTCCCTCCTCCTCTTCTAACAGACTGACGATGTCCTCCAATCATTTCTTTACCTGCTTGTAGTTTGACGTGTTACAGGACAGACAGCCCTTTAGCTTTTTATTATGAATGATTCAAGAAACTGGTTTCTTCCTGTATATTTGTAAATGTTTCACCTAAAGTTTTACACGCTGTTTTGTATAGAATGAAAACTATATGAATAAAGAAAAATCATGATTTCTCTATTGAAAAGTTTGAATAAATGATGATTTTACAGGAGCTGTTTGGTGTTTTTTCTTTTCCCCAGAGTTTCAGTGGTAAATGTTTGTTTGGTGACACTAGAGGGCAGCATTGTTCCGTGTGTTGGATTATGTTCCCACATTATTCCACTTAAACCTGGAACATCTGTGGAAGCACCTGTGGTCTGCGCTGCCTATCCTCCGGGTTTGTGCAGACGTCTTTTGAAGCTCCTGCGAGCACATCACTCAGCTCTCTAACCAAAACGAATCTGTGCCCACAGTCTGTCTGCTTCTTTGTCGAGCCGTCTTGTTTGAGTCTGTCCCCATCATCAGCCGGTGCACAGTCCACCGGCAGCAGCTGTCACATCAGCTGCTAACATTCACCATAAACCATCGGCTGCTAATGATTAGACTCTTGTTCCACTGGGACAGTAGCCTGATGATACAGTGATTGGAAGCAGCTTCTGTAGCTMCACTGTCCAGGAGGGAACAATTCCTGGAAAAGACTGGCTAACATTGAGTTTTCTCTTACACTAACACACTACAGCCACTAGGTGGCAATAGTTCATTCTTCAAACAATTCTTTTGTTGCTGATGTTGAACATTTTTTGGGTTCCTGCTTTTTTGCTCGAAGGTGGAATGGTGATGATGTTTTTAATGCCTGTGTCTGTTAGCAAAATATCCCATGAACCACTGGATGGATTTGAATYAAACTCCTAGGAAGCAATCACTGGATGGACWTTTACAGTTGATTAACTTTTGGAGTCAGCAGCMTTCAAGATACCTGCCACAGATGAGCAAKCTTATTAAWTACAAAAACAGCAACAAGTCTATTYATATAACAGATATTAAGATGAAATTTGGTGTGGTAGTAGCTGAACATTWTTGCCAACATYTATWCAGAGCACTCACTGATTGCAAAAGATCTGTTGTCTTAGTGAAACAAGACAACAGTGTCATAAACAGTGTCTTATTGTCTTAAAAATATGTCTTAGTGACATATTTTTAACYTTTTATTTTTACACTTGGCACCCCATGTGGTAATAGTTGAGGATCAGTGGGCACAGTTCCACCAAAGCACTAATAGGGGAACTAATATCCTGATTAGTGCTTTAGGGCTTTTGCTAATTTTATTAGTGGATTAGCACTTGCTAAATTTATAGGTTAAATTTAGAAGCACTAACTGAGGTCTATAAATGTTATTGATCAACGTTAAAGTTAACATAGGGTGAAAGCTGTCACACATTTTGTTCATTTGTGTGTCACTGATCCACCAGGTGACAATATATGAAAACAAATACAGCTGTGGAATGTCAGTGATAAGAGAGAAACATGGCAATATGTGACTCATGTTGTCTGTTGAAGAATGATCATGGGTTGACTGGGTTATTTTAGTGCTTTAGAATTAACTTTTGCTAAAATTTTAGTGCATTAGTGCTTTAAAATTAGGGGACCTAAATATTTGGGTTAGTGTTTTAGGGCCTGGTGGAACTATTTTTTAAATTAGTGCTGCCCACCACTGCTGAGGATCCTCTACAACAGTAGTTCCCAACCTTTATAGACTTGTGTACCCCCTCTGTCAAATGTAATGATGATTCTCCAAAACTATAAGGTACCACAGCTGATTATTAAATGATTTTTTAAAATATAACCCCCTTAATTTGAACAATTAATTCTCAGGCATTTTATTCTTTTAAACTCAAATTAAACATAAAGAAAAAATGTTGCCTTGAAAGTGAATAACCAGGTAACGGCAGGTACAAGAAGCAGCAGTGTCCAAAATACATTGTATTGTCCAAAATACCTCAGAAACTCGCCCAAATTAGCAAATTCCACGAGATTCTGCATTTTGTACTGGATTCAATTTTGTGTCAATTCTGCGATTCTGCATGCATTTTCCGCATTGCAGAAATCATAGGGTCCTACATATCTCATTCCTAATTTTATTAATTTGTTATACATTTTTCCACGTACCCCCTGTAATATGCTCACGTACCACTGGAGGTACATGTACCGGTACCTCTGGTTGGGAATTCCTGCTCAACTACATGTAGTTTGAGCACATGTAGTTTGTGAGATTTAATAATATCCAGCATGTAAGTATTTTCAAGGTTCAACCAAAACGGCTACAACTCCATTCTCTTCTCAACACGAGATGATGTTGCACATTTAATCCTGTCGTATTTTAGACATTTGGATTAAAAATAAAATTCCTTCTTCCAGATTCAGTCTACGTGACATTCACTGCACTGTGCTGCTGTAAGACGACAACCAGTAGAAAAAAAACCCAACAACAACAAAAGAAAAAAGCCTTTCAGTTGTGAGAACAAAGTCAAGCGAGGCCTGACAGTCTGTCATGGCGTCCCAGTCTGGTGGCTGTGGTGATCCAGGTAAGGCCTTGCCCCTTGTGTCTCGGCCCAATCCAATATTTTTCCTGGTAATCCTCCATCCACTCCTCGACTCCGCTGCTCTTTCAGAGTTAAGTCCACATAAGCTCCCACTTGAGCGCCAGAGGCAGAGCAACAARGAGGATGGTGCGGTTGCCTGGCAACGCCTGAGTCACAGCACCTGAGGGTGTCGGGTAAACACCGCGAGGCTGCCAGAGGGAAGAGGAGACGGGTGACATCACTGTTTCCCTTCTGTGACATTTATTACGAGCGGCTTTTATTCATTTCTTACAACCGGGGCGTCTGTTTCTGCTCTCGCCCCCAGGGTGAGATCATTAATGAAGTTTAAACGTGNGTGTGTGTGTGTGTGTGTGTGTGTGTGTGTGTGTGTGTGTGTGTGTGTGTGTGTCTCGCGAGGCGCTTTTGTCACATCCTGAGATGGGGTTTGACTGATCTGATGGTTCTTCTCAGCAGGGCGCTCCTCTTGCTCCCGCACGATAAATCTTTAATCTAAAAAAGTCTGTCCTTGTTTGCTTTTACGCAGGCGCGCCTTCAAAACGGGAGGGTTTAGGGCTGATGAAGGTGAGATCCCTAAAGCTTTATAAATAATTGTGCTGAGGTCTATTTTTATGTTTGGTATTACYCTGTAACCCGCTAAATTAAAAATCCCATTTGCCGATCCCGTCGTATTCACGCTGCGAGACAAACGCCCGAGTACAGTCTGCAAATCAGTTTGATTCCTTTCAACACTTCTGTACATAATGTTGATGAAGCTCCGAGCTCGTGAATAAAAGTCTCCTCGGAGGGACATGAGAATGTGATTGGGATGAAATGATGTGGCTCAATGGGATTCAGTCGCTGCACTTTATCATCCATTAGGATGCACAAATCCAGCAGCCTGTGACCAGTTTTTTTTACTCTTAAATGAAAGAGAATGAGTTTTTTCCACCACCCAGGAGGAATTAAACTCTGAAATCCCTAAAAAAAAGAAAGCAACAAGAGTTCATTAGTTTATCCGATTTCTGGTGCGTCTCTGCCCTTTTTCCTACCCGGGTTAATGCCGACTTGAGGACTCTTTTGTCATGGGCTGACCGGAGCACACGGCTTTGGCCTGGAGATACTATAATAAGGCCAGTGTTTATGAGCGCTGCTGAAATGGGTTTGTAAGCGCCGCTGAACCTGTGAGGTATTGATGCTGGGGTTAATAGCCTGTTGGCCTCTTTAATGGAGCTGAATCAGGCCAAGCAGCGGACAGCGTCAGCGCACAGGAGGAGAGCATCTCCTCTTACAAAGTCATCTTCTGGGACGGAGCAGGATGTGTTGTGGGCACAAGAGGCTCCACTGCAGACACYGCTTCAGGGTTTGGATAAATGTTCAGTAGAGATCCAAAAACGGTTGCTTTATCAGACAAATAGAAAAATGCTAGCCTGGCCCTTCCRACACAGTTCCACTCAATTCTAGTTTCCCTTCTTTGCTCCGTCTGGGATTTCTCCTATAGACAAGGATTTCTCCAGTAGAATTTGAACTGGGCCAATCAGAGAACAGAAGGAGTTGTAAACAACGACATCTATTTTCTGTGACATTTTTAACATGTAGTTTAGCAATGGCAGTGTAGGAAGTGATTGAAGCCAGTCCGTGTTGACAAGACTTCCAAATTAAATTAAATTTGCCTCACAAAGCTGCAGCTCTCATTTACAGACGTCTGGTTCAGCTCAGTATTCTCTCCTCTCAGTAGGGGATGGTTGTTTACAGCGCAGGCTATTTCAGGTTAGCTTCTTAGCTTTCTTCACGGTCGAGCTGGCGCACTGCATTCATCACGGCCAAACATTAGCSATTTCGTAATAAATCAGATTCAATCATTTTAAACTTCAACAGAGGCCCTGCCTCCAGCAAGCAATCTTTTCTCAATAGCTTAGAGTCCAGACCCTCTGTACGAAGCAAAGCGTCGAGCAAGGGGCTGTTTTTACCTGTAAAATGCATAAATCTAAATGTTCATGAAGCTAAATTAACTGATAATGAGATTCAAGCTATTTTTTCAGCTTGTTCAAATGCTCATTGCGTATTTTAAGAGTTAATGGGACAAATGACACAAAAATCTGTCAATTAAATGTTTTTTGAGGAATTTTTAAATGCCTCAGCGTTTCTGGACAAACATATAGTTACATAAACATTATGCTGTTTTAAATTTCAGTTCAGTTCAGTTTATTAATGTAGCACCAAGTTACAACAAGATTCCTCTCAGGGCAGTATACAAAAATAAAATCGTCCAAAAATCATAAATCAAGTTTAGATCTAGATTTAAATCCGAAAACAATTCAATAATTTTTGTCTAAAGTTTACAGCAAACAGTGACATTTTCCCGCATAATAAACAATGGGATTTTATTGAAATGAGAGAGAAACCCCCCAGCTGATTATACTTCAGTAGAAATACCATTCAAAGTATAAACACATAAAGTTYGACATTATGATGCCTGTAACAGCTGTACACAAAGTTTTAGGATTTTTTTGAGAATTTAACAACATATTTAATTTGGTGAACCAGTTAGTAGAGCTYGTGCCTCTCACCAAGAAGGTTGCTGGATTGAATCCCGGTCTGAGACCGTCTGTGTGGAGTTGACATGTTCTCTCTGTGTGCAGGTGTGGGTTTTCTC